CTCTCCCTAGTGCCAGTGCCATGCTGCCCACTTCTCTCCAGCATGTTCACCAGAGCTACACATGTTTAAGGTTGATGTTTTCTTTAGATAACCTATGCAAACAAAGGCCATGTCTAATATTAGGAATTAAAACCTATGATAATTACCATATTTCCAGCTCTGCCAGACTCTCCCTGTTCTCTTTTGTCTCCTTTTTGCCCCTAAAAAGCGTAAAATAAGGGCTGAGCATGATTTTGACAAAACCATGGGAAATTATCACAACCAGAAAGTTTCATTTTAGATTATACCTGGGGGCCTGTTGTTCCTTGATCTTGTGATCTTCCATGGGCACATTTACAACTTCTTTCACACTAAAAATGAAGACATAGGTTACCTAGGGGGCAGACAGACATAGCATGCAAAATGTTTTAAAAATGGAGTGTTTCAACTGTAGACATGTGTAGCCTTGTGCCTCTCCCCTAGCACTTCAAAACTGCCATAACAGCATGCAGTGATGCTACTCTCCAGTCAGGGCATATGGTAGGAGGTTGCTCCCTCCTGTGTTTCCCCACTCCATCAACCAAGGGGAGAAGGGGGAGCAAAGAGTTCGAGGGTGCTTCCAGCACCCTGGGCACAAGGCATTGGAGTAAAGGCAGTGTTGTACTGTGGGATGCCTGGACCAGAAGTATAACTGGGTGCTAGAGTGTCTTGGGCAACAGTCATGCACAGGGCAGCAGCAGTAGTTGAACTGCTGGAGGTGTGGTGGCATGGTGGATGCTATTTTGTGGCCCCTTCAGGGACAGCACCTGGGACTGGTGCCCTGGTCAACCCCCTTCCTCACCCCTTTTTGTCATGCTACTGGTCTGGAGGATCAACCCAACGTAAACACATGAGATGAAGTGGTACAAAATAGTGCCTACTCCTTCCAGATATATTTTTGCCATGCTTTGGCCACTTTGGGAGCATTTTATCAGATGTGCACACCTGTAGGTTCATCTTTTTAAACATTTCTAAGCTATCTGAAACATTTTAAATGTTACATCTGTCCATAGCCTTGTTTTTGTGCTGCAGAGAGCAAGTTGCAAGATAATATCTCCTACTCGACTACAAGGGGAATTCCAAGCCTTGTTCTTAAATTGTAGAAAAAGAAATTTTCTGAATCTTATGGTAGAGCTGGTTATAGGCAAGGACCTAAAACGCTACACATGCTTTTTGGGGTTCCAGTTTTACAGCTATATTCAGTTAGTGCCCTGCTAGAAATCCTATACATACTTTTAAATCAAGCTACAGGGGCCCAGTCTCACTCTCAGCTACTAACATCCTGCCCTTCCCATTTCCAGCTGCTGAAACTCTTCAGTTTCAACTGCAACCCCACTATAATGGCAAAACACACTGAACCCCACTCTCAGCCCCTTAAAGAAAATGTCCTGCTCCAAATTACCAAACATTTTTTCCCCTAGATGTCATGTGATTTGCAGAAGCCTTCCTCTCCACATACAGCTCTGCAAAACTTGCAGACCTGACAGTGAAGATAGATTTTACTGGCAATGGACATTATATAGAGCTATGCACGAGTCAGTTAAGTTAATACTGAGTAATCATAAGTGAAGCAGCTCATGAGAGAAACCATACGCTCTACTCACTGCATCAGAAAGTTCACAGCATCCTTCTGAGTATGCTTTATCTGCATCACAATGCATTTCAAGTTGCTGCAAGTCCACCTGGCAAACACATAAAACAACTTCTTGACAGCTTTAATAAATATGGGCTAATTGACCTCTTCTCTATAGAATCAGAACCCCACTCACCCATTTACTCACTCTGCACTCTTCAATACAGATACACAGTGTTTCCCTCTACCAAGTAATTCAACCACTGTCTCCACACACACTGATGAACTCTTCCTTCCCACCTCACCACTCTCCCTATGACCAGTGAGACCAATAGGATGGGCTAATTGTAGAATACTGTCACTACAAAAGCATATCATGTCTCTTCTTACTTTTCTCTGTTTTAATTCCAGATTAAGAAAATGTGATTGCTTTCCTTCTATAAAGAAAAATTGAAAGTTAAACACTTGCTGAATGTCTACTAATAAAATTCCCATGGGATGTAAAACCACAAAATTTACTGGCTGTTCTGTCTTACGTTTGACAGACACGCCGTGCAGAAATGCTAAACCAAGTCCAGTGACCTCTAGCACAAAAGCTCTGTGTAGTAATTACATTTGTAGATTATTTTATGTGCGCACACACCTTTTATTCTGAATTCTAAGAACTATAAATATTTATCGGAGAGCTTCACAAAAATTAGAACCATATTTCAGATCTCCATGATGACCACTAGAGGGTGCTTGTGCATAAGTAATAAAAGATGGTTTCACGCACCCTAGGGAAAAAATACTGAATTGCTGCAAATGCCTCTTAAGAGAAAGCTATATTAAACGATTAGAAAACCTAGTTTGCATCCATCAAAAGCCTGATTCTGACCCTTTAAATATTATCAAGAGTTTTGTGACTGATTTCAGCAGGAACAAAGAAAGAGAAAAGGTAAACTTTTTGAGTTATACTGAATTCTAAGAGACAGAATATAGAGATGTAATGGATCCCTTTGAGAGATTCCCAAGCAAAACAATACAAATTGTACCCAAGAAAAAAATTCCATATGAGTGCATGCAAAGGACAGTGAATGCCAGGAATGGAATCCTAAAGGCAACACTATGAGCCATTTAAAACTTGTACTTAGTAAAAGAATAAATTAGGTGCTTTGAAAAAAAAACAGTATTTAATGAGTTAACCCCATTAAATACTGTCACTAACTGAACCAAATGGCTTTCAGCTGTTAAATACTTCCAACAAAGGATAGTGTAGTAACAAGGACTGGTACATACCAGTATGCTGAGAGTTACTTACCAAAACAGAAGACTTTTCGACTGATCTTTTTACTAGGGACGTGTACCAATTTCTGTAAATGTCTCCCTGTTCATTTGTGGGAACTGCACTGACCTCCTGACAATCAATCAGCAATTTTACATTACTCCCTTTCACGCTTAATGCTAACTTGTGCCAGGAGTTATCAAAAATTTTGCCCACGTTGTTAAATGTCCTGAACAGGCTTATTTTATATGAAGTGGCATAAAAGAAATCCAGATTTTTTTTGTCTCTCAGAACCTGAATGCCAACTTTGTCTTTGCCGTCAGAATCACTAACTTGCCACAAATGCCACACATTTTGCGAAGTGTCTTCCAGCATTTTAAAAGTAGCAATGATAGAGTATTCAGAAGGGAAGCCGTCTGGAAAACCAACACTAAAACAAAAACACATATGGTCTGATTTACAAAAATCTACCCATCAACCAAGTAAACGAACGTCCATTTAAAACGTTTAATTTCTAATGTATTTAAATTATATTACTCTAATGGTGCTGTAAAATGGCAAAGAGCTGGTTAGTTAGTTACCAGACACCTGAGATTGCAGTGCTGTTCCCAGAGGTGATGGACAAAAAGGCCAGATTCTGCACTCTGACCTCAAGCAAATTCTTACTGAAAACAATAGTGAGCACAAGCCATACAATTGGCACAGCGTGTTTCCCACTTTTCTATGATGTATGGCTCCCTTTGGGGTGACTTGTCTCCCAGGAGTGCTAAAGAGGTCAATCCACATGCAGAAGAGAGAACAGTGGCTGCAGTTAAGCCTGGTATTTGCCTGAGGGCTATGTAGTACTTCCCTCAGATAGTCTCAATATAGCTCTGAAATCTTACTGTCTATATTTAACAAATGAATTTTTGTTCAGCAAAGTCTGTCATATAGAGCTTCATTTATAGTAGTGATTATTAAACTAAAGTCATGGAACCGTTTTGTATCACTTCTGCTGCTGCAGAACCCCTCCCCCTGGCTCTGCCAGCCATGTGACCTGAGACAGAGCCAAGGAACTTGGCCTGGAGCACACTGCCTTATGGCCTGCTCCCCCTTTATCCTCAGTCTCTTTGTGGAACCCCTGAGGCCTGTCATAACATCTCAGGGTTCTACCAAACAGTTTGAAAACCTGTGATTTATAGCATACCTTGTGTTTTTCCTGAGCTGTATGTTAGGACTTATGCGATAGGCTATAGATCCTGGGTTTGATCCTTCTATTATGTGTTTATCTGATGCTGTTGACAGTTTGAATTCCTGGAGAAGATCAAGCCCTGCAATTTAAAAACAATCTTTCATTAGTTTAGAAAATACCTCCATTGATAGAAATCTGCACAAATTATTGACCTCAGTGAGGCATGGACAAGTTGCACCCATGGAGATACTGGCTTTAATGATGGTGCCAAATGTGCTTGTGGTAGGGACAACTGAGGGAGTAATCTGCCACCCTAACCCCTTAGCCTGGGAAGTTTTCTGCTTTCCAGGAGCCAGAATCTGGGACATTGCGGAGAAGATCCCTAAGTTCCTCCAGCCCACTGACCACTATCCCATGCTCCTCATCCATGTGGGCACCAATGACACAGCTCGGAGTGCTCCCAGCTGGGTCATGAGGTGCTACAGGGATGTGGGAGTGGGGCTAAAGGGTCTGGGGGTGCAGGTGGTGTTTTTCTTTATCCTCCCAATCTTGGGCTACAAGCTGAGGTGGGAGAGGACGATCCAAGTAGTGAACCAAAAACTGCGGCGCTAGTGTCATCGGGAAGGCTTTGGCTTCCATGACCACAGCCCACCCTTTGGCAAGAGAGACAGTGAGCTGCTGGGAAAGGATGGCCTCCACCTCTCTCCACTGGGAAGGAGGCTCTTCTCAGCCAGACTAGCTGACCTGCTCCACCAGGCTTTAAACTAAGTCCACCGGGGGACGGGGGACTACCGCCACTGCTGGCCTACTGAACAACCCTTGCGAAGCCAGCAGACTCTAAGACTTAAGGGAGCCCACCCCTGGTCCAGCCCTGGAATGAACCGTAGGCAAGGCAAGGGTCCCCAAGGGGACACTTGTATGCCTATACACAAATGCCAGGAGCTTGGGGAACAAACAGGAGGAACTTGTCCTCCTGCTAAACGCAAATAACTATGATATCATAGGGATAACGGAGACCTGGTGGGACTCCACCCATGACTGGCCCCAGGTATAGATGGCTACACCCTTTCCAGGAGGGATCAAGTGGACAAAAGGGGCAGCGGCTTTGCTCTCTATATCAAGGAAAGCTACGCATCCCTACAAGCCAACATTGGCACCCATGGTGGACTTGAGACCCTCTGGGTTAAAATCCACAGGGAACATGGCACAGGGGATACTAAGGTGGGTGTCTACTACCTACCCAAGGTCAAAATCTTGACCAGGAGTTTGCCAGGGAATTGGCTGAGGCCACGCGCTCCCGGTGTATGATTGTCATGGGAGACTTCAACTACCCAAACATGTCATGGGAGGAGTGCTCAGCCAAATCCAGGCGGGCGCAAAGCTTTCTCTCATGCGTGGATGACCTCTATCTGACACAGGAAGTCTACAGGCCGACAAAAGGTAAAGCACTGCTCAACCTGGTTCTAGCAACCAGGGACGACCTAATCAGTGACCTAATGATTGAAGGGAAACTGGGTGACAGTGATCATGAGCTGATCACCTTCACCATCCGCCGTAAAATTGGCAAGTCAGTCAGTAATACAGAAGTCCTCAATTCAGGAAAGCTGACTTTGACAAGCTCAGGAGGCTTGTCAGTGAGGCCCTAAAGAGCCACAACCCAAAGAGGAGGGGAGTTTAGGACAAATGGTAGCTCCTCAAGGGAGCAATCCTGGATGCATAAGCAAAGTCCATCCTGTCTCAGAGGAAAGGCAGCAAAAGGGCACAGCAGTCCCCTTGGCTCTCCAGAGAACCAGCAGACCTCCTGCATCTTAAAAGACCTACAAAGGATGGAGGATGGGATCCACCACCAAAGAAGAATACTCTGCTCTGGTCTGGACCTGCAGAGAGCAAACCAGGAAAACCAAGGCTGCAATGGAACTCCAGCTAGCTACAAATATCAAAGACAATAAAAAGTCCTTTTTTGGATATGTGGGGAGCTGGAGGAAAAGCAAGGGCAAGATTGGGCCCCTGCTAAACCAGATGGGGCAACTGACAACCGATGCCCAGAAAAAAGCAAACTTGCTAAATGGGTACTTTGCATCAGTTTTTCACCAGTCCCATGGGATGCCCCTGCCCACTGCGGGACAGGGAGGCCCAGGTGAGGGAGATTCCTTACCATCCATCAAAGCTGACCTCATGAAGGAACACCTTGACAGGCTGGATACCTTCAAGTCAGCTGGCCCTGACGGTTTATACCCAAGGGTACTTAAAGAGCTGGCAAGCATCATAGCTCAACCCCTGGCACAGATCTTTGAGAACTCCTGGTACTCTGGTGAAGTGCCCAAAGATTGGAAGAAGGCCAATGTGGTGCCTATCTTCAAGAAAGGGAGGAAAGTGGATCTGGCAAACTACAGACCCATAAGCCTGACCTCTATCCTGGGAAGGTCTTGGAAAAGATTATCAAAGAGGCTATCCTATACAGGCTAGCTGATGGCAATATACTGAGGGATACCCAGCACGGGTTTGTTGCAGGTAGGTCTTGCTTGACCAATCTCATTTCCTTTTACGACCAGGTGACCTATCTTCTGGACAAGGGAGAAGAGATTGATGTCATATATCTTGACTTTAAAAAAGCCTTCGATCTGGTATCCCATGATCACTTCTTAGCAAAACTGGCTAACTGCGACCTCAACCTCATCACGATCTGCTGGCTGGGGAATTGGCTCCATGGCAGGATCCAGCAGGTGGTGGTTGATGGAAGTCAATCATCGTGGTGCCCTGTGACCAGAGGTCCCTCAAGGCTCTGTCCTAGGGACTTTACTTTTTAATATCTTCATCAATGATGTCGGCATTGTTGTCAGAAGTGGACTGACCAAGTTTGCCAATGACACCAAACTTTGGGGTAAAGCATCCACACCTGAGGACAGGAGGGTGATCCAGGCAGATCTTGACAGGCTCATGAAATGGGCGGACGAGAACCTGATGGTGTTTAACACCAAAAAACGCAAGGTTCTCCACCTTGAGAAGAAAAACCTGCAGCATGCTTATAGGCTCGGCAGTGCTACGCTGGCTAGCACCACGGATGAAAGGGACTTGGGGGTCATGATTGACCACAAGATGAACATGAGGCTTCAATGTGATGTTGCAGCTAGTAAAGCGAGCAAAACACTGGCTTGCATCCATAGATGCTTCTCAAGCAAATCCCAGGATGTCATTCTCCCATTGTACTCGGCCTTGGCGAGGCCGCAGCTGGAGTACTGCATCCAGTTTTGGGCTCCACAATTCAAAAAGGATGTAGAGAAGCTTGAGAGAGTGCAGAGAGCCACACGCATGATCAGAGGTCAGGAAAACAGACCTTATGATGAGAGGCTGAGAGCCATGGGACTCTTCAGCCTGGAAAAGCGCAGGCTCAGGGGCAATCTGGTAGCCACCTATAAGTTTATTAGGTGTGTTCACCAGGACCTGAGGGAACGTCTGTTCACCAGAGTGCCCCAAGGGATGACAAAATTGAATGGTCACAAACTCCTCTGCGACTGTTTCAGGCTGGACATAAAGAAGAACTTCTTTACTGTCCGAACCCCCAAGGTTTGGAATAGACTGCCTCGGGAGGTGGTTCAAGCACTCACTTTGAATGCCTTCAAGAGATATTTCAACATTTATCTTGCTGGGATCCTATGATCCCTGCTGACTTCCTGCCCCTGGGCAGGGGCTGGACTCAATGATCCTCTGGGGTCCCTTCCAGCCCGAATGTCTATGAAATTTATGAAATCTATGAAGTCCTGAGTATCCTACCTCAAGCCAAAGAGAAGTACTAGACTTGCTGCCCTGATAACAATGAGTTATTTTCTTATCCTGATATCCACCAGCTAAGTGCTAGGCCATGGAAGTGATGCAATGCTGGATGGAGGATGTATGCTGTTGACCTTTACTAGTCGTGAGTCAGAGACTAGATCCCTTGGCATTAACAGTAGTTTCTCTAAGTGAAGTAAAGTGAGGGAATTCACCCATACAGTGAAATCCCGCTTTGTGCTGGAACCACCTTCAGTTGAGCATTTTAGTGTACTTAATGTCGTTCCAGAAACACAGAGATTCCGAACCCGTTCCTAAATATATATGAATCCTCTCCTTTGGAGAAGTTTAATGTCATTGTTTTTATTTAGTTGTTCTACAGGATGCATTCTTCATTAAATGTCAAAAAGTTAGTCAGTAACTATGGAACATTTCCTTCCCCAGTTTTAACAATATTTTCCTGTCCTGTTCCTTCCTCGCCACCCCCCAACACACTATCCCCAGCCCCCACAATTGCTTATTCCAGATGCAGTTCAAAATGATTTGTCATGAAATGTGTTTCTGGCTCAACTATTTAAATTAACTTGTTTACTTAGCAAATAGACTTCATTTTTGCATACTCAGTTAAAATGCCTTACTACTGCATAGTTTCATTTTCCCAAGCCTTGATAGAACTCATTGAATGTCAGGTTTCAGCTGTGTATTTTAACACCATTGAATCTCCTAGAGGAATGTGTTAGCAAAGTGAAATTCTCAGTATATAGGATATCCAAAATGTTCTTTCAAAATAACTAAAATTATTTAATATCTAAGAACAAATTGAAGTATCTCCCCAACCTTGTAGAGGCACCAAGTTATATTCCATGTAACAGTGCATGTTCAATGAGTTATACTACATTGTTAAATACAATTTAACACAATTTATTTCTAGCCTGTTGCAAGCAAAAGTGATGTAATATAAGTCTGAAATTAAATTACAGCACAGAGATGAAGGTTAGTTTTCAAGTGTTACCTATAAGCATGGGGAATCACGCATTTCAATTTAGTAAAAATCAGTGGAACAACTAAAAGGTCTGAAGGAATCATCCTTCATTCTTTGCAAAAAAAAGTCTCTTTTAAGAAATGTATTGTCTGTTAATATTCATTAGAATATTTCCTTCTGAAACTGTTTCATAAATACAGGAAAATAGTTTCATATCTTTTCTAAAGAATCAGTTGGTATAATTAAAACTATTTTTAAACACTTAAATATGAATTCACTGATTATTTAAACAGGATTGTTCACATACCTGTAGTATTTGTTAAATCCTGACATAATGAAATACTGAAGAGAGTCATCACTAAGACTGTAAGTGCAGGAAATGTCATTGTGCAACTTCGTGAATGCATGCACCTAGGAAAGAATATATAATGGTTCATTATAATCATTATAATCAGTAAAACGTGGATTTCCCTCTTTTCCAGAGGAAAACACAAATTTCTCATTTTAGCGGAGTTTCATCCTGCAAGCGGCCGGGGGGAGTGGGAGAAGCACAGTCAGGCAGGGACACTGCACCATGTGCATGTATATGGACACAGCTGCCAGGCAGCCTGGAGAGCAGCTCCCATAGGTAAGTGAGGGGGTAGGAATTGAGGCCCCCTATAGGGAGGGAGGGAGGGAGGGAGGGAGTTGGCTGGGGCTGCCACAAGGCCCTGGTAGGCTCATCCAGGGGACAGGGAATGGAGCCAGCTCCCTGCCACTGCATGCATTCCCAGAGGGCAGGGGGAACCCATGCCCCCCACATCTGTGCATGAGGTGGGGTGGGGACAGGTGCAGACTTAGGCTCCCTGACCTGCTGCCCTCCCCCTGGGCCTTCCCAGCTTGGTGGGCAGGACCCCATGCAGAAGGGCAGAGCAGGGTCACGTGAGAAAGCTCCTTGTTGCTGCTATGAGCCCCATGCTGCACTGGCAGCAGCAGGGGCGGTGGCATGGGGTTATGCCTCTTGCTACTCCAAGGTATGCATGCATACA